TTTGGAAGGATCAGTGAATATATTTGAAAGATAGAACTTTTGAGAGGAAACTTTCTGTTTAATGTTAACAGTTGATGAACCACCCTTGGTAGGTAATTAACTGTCTAACATTCATTCACCTCATCTGGTTGACTAATGTTCATCCTAGCCTGAGACATGAAGAAAAGATGGAAGACAGATGATCAAAGCCCTTGCCTGAAGGTCATGAAGATGGAGATTAATACTTGTTGAAGCATGTAGCTGAATGGAGATTACTTGAAGTCAGATGTTGAGTCAGAGCTGCTGATGCTGTTGTATTTCTTTGCTGATGTATTGTTTGGATTTCCTGGTTGTATTGTTTGCTGTTTACCCTGTTAGGTTGAAAGTGAAGCCTATTCACTTTCGCCTATTGTTTTCTAGGTTCGAGGTTGAGTGGGACTCCCTTGCCTCGCTTGTACTGTTGCATCCATGCATTTTACCGCTTTATTATATCTGTTATTGTTTCTGTTTCTGCCTATCCCGTAGGATCTCTGTTTCTCTCTGTGCAAGAGAGGAGCATGATAGACACTAGGTCTTAACCCATGCATGATAACATTAGGTTAGTTTGATTCCCCTCGCAACCGTAGGTTAGAGTTCTGTCTCTTTCTATCTCAAAACAAACAGAAAAACACCATAAAGATTTTAAACACAATAAAAGACACTTCTTTCGTAAAAGAACGTGAACTCATCAAAACGTCATTTTTGTCCGCCGTGACTGCTAATCAAAAAAACCTTTTTCAGAAGGAATAAAATCAATCAAGGACAGACTTGTGTCGTACGTGGCCCGAACTACGTTTGCTCTGATCTTTCATGCTGTATGAAAGTACGTAGGCATAGGATGCGATATCCTAGCGAGCAACCTTCCCCTCCTTTCCCGTAGGTAGGCGAACTACGTTGACTCTGATTTCTCGTTCCAGACGGGAATACGTAGGCATAAAGTGCGATACTTTGCCGAGTCATTTTTATTTTCAGTTTTATTTTCTTTTTAACCCTTGACCTATAGTTTAGATAGAATAACAATCCATACCCGAAAACAAGCGTGGATCCCGTCGAGTACGACGGACGTGAGGGGTGCTAATACCTTCCCCTTGCGTAACCGACTCCCGAATCCAGGTTTTGGTTGCGACGACCATACCTTTCCCGTGTTGTGCGAGGTTTACTCTGAGCGTTTCCTTTCCCTCCCGTGGGATAAATAACGCACGGTGGCGACTCTTCTGTTCAGCCGGCGCCGATTTTCGCAGTAGCGACACATTGTTGCTAAGATGAAATGCAATATGGAAGAGGTTCATAAGACCCTTTAATAGGAAGCTAAGGCTCATTCTGAGGCTCTAAAGGATCTTCAAGGAGAAATGGTCGGTTTGAGGGAAAGGTTCCATGATTCTCTTCAGCAGTTTGTACATGCATGCTCGGGGTCCGAGATCAGGTCGTGGAATAGGCGAATGGCTTTTGTTCCAAATACATTATTCCTGTTGATGTGTTAGACCCCTTCAAGGATGCTATAGGAGGGGACTTCGGAGATGATTGGAGCACTTTAGCTTCAGGTTTTGCAACTCGATTACTTCTTTTTTTCTTTGTATTATTTTCTTTCCTCTTGTAACATTTTTCATGTCGTTGTGCCTTTTTTTTTTGTAATGAAAATTTTAAATAATATATTTTTACCTTAGTGAGTTGTAGCTTTATTTGACTTTAAGTCCTGAATATGTATTCGACTCCACTTTATAGTTGTGACACGCTTCTTGTTGGTTGCAAGTCGTTGTAGCGTTAGAGTTTGCTTGTTATCCATGTAGTGTAAAGCCTATTTTCCTCACGAGTGGTTTAAATTTAGTTTGTTTTAGTGGGAGATATAAATTTGTTTGCCTTAGAGCGTTGTCGGTGTTCATCGATGGGCTGTGAGTCTGTGCCATGGCATCTACAAAATGTTGTCTACTTTTGATGTGAGAACTAGGTTCCCGTCCCTGCCCTTAGGGCTAGCATGGTTCGGGTGGACGCCTCCAGGCTCCACCGCCTACGCTCCTTGAATGACTAATTTTTAAGATAGGGTGCGCCAACTGCGTTGAGAAGAATGCTTCTTAAATGTGAATGGTACGATGGTAGTATTCTGATGCCACAAAATTTCCTACAGGAGTAACCTAATATTACCTCTTTTGAATTGTGGGATGCTAGTATCTTAGCTTCCTCTTTGCTTAAGGGTCACCGCTTCTTACGACCTTTCGAAGTGCGAACGACAATGTGTCTACTTGAGACGTGGGAGTTTGTCATCTGGCGCCTGGTCAGATTCTCCTTGTGTCGAGCGTATATTCAAACGAATATGAGATTTATTGAAGGGAATTTCTGCAAAGTCTTTAGCTGACCCTTACGAATTAAGCATGGTTGGATGAGGAATTAAATGGATATAATGACCAGAGACTCCCTCAATGATGCTCTACCTCTATATGACAAAGCTCAGGATGTCTTTCTCTCTCGTTGCTCAAAGGATTACCGAAGTTCAAAGGGTTTTTGATATCTTACACATCCAATTTTGGCCGACAGAGACATGCTATCTCTATGGCCTCAGATTGAAAATTGTTGTTTGGTATTTAGTGCCTATGATGCATCTTATAAGTGCTTTTGTCAATAGTGGAACTATTGTGACCACCGACAAGTCCTTATATGTGATCTATTTAGCTTCTTCGTCCTGTGACATCTTCGTGCACTTGGATTTACCATTTCGGTGTCGTATCAATGAGCTAGGAGGAAAATATATTTTTTGTCGATGGATTGCCACCAAACACATGAGTATTGTAGACCTCACAGGATATAATTAAGTACGAAAAAATAATCAGAAATATCTAATAATATAAACCTTGAAGGTGTACAATATGATTTGTGGTGATATTTACTTCGGTCATCAATAATTATGTGTTTAGAATTCTAACTCCATCACGATCTAGTAATTCGGACGAGATATGATATTCGTTCATTGTTCGAAAGTTCTTTATCTCTTAGTGAGGTTGTGTCTGCCATATATCTACGTTAAGAGTTGTTACGACGAATATCATATTGATAATGGGAAATTTACACAATGCACGATTAAGAGGTTGATTAAGAGCCATTGATAAGACATTGAAAGTTGTTACCTTCCTTATTAGACAATTCTGATACAGAGTCATTCGTTCGTTTTGATTCGTGAAATTTTTGCGAGAATCAAAGATCTAAAATTTGATGAATTGAAGTTGAAACAATGATTGATTGGATCGAACACCGCAATCTTCGCATTCGACTCTAATCGCTCTTGATTCAGTGATCCACAATGGTTTTGAACTTGTGAATTGAAGAACGAACGCAAAATCGTGGAAAACACAGGAATTAGAATTCATTCCCATAGACGTCACTGTTCCGTTATAAAACAAAATTGGATGCAATTGATGAATTGAGGATCTATAACCAATGGTGTCGATCTCCGATAGTGGTGCAAAGGTGAACTTGCAAAGTTAACACTCTAATGTCCAAATCAATTCAAAATACAACATGAATATAATGAAAATGGCTATCAAAGAATGCAAATTTCTTTTTTTGTGATATGACTTATATACCTTATACCATGGAGTCAAAATTTGAGTGGAAATTGACCTCAACTATTTAGGCCAATGTGATTTATAAAATAAGAATCTCACTTTTAAAAAAAAATAAATTTTCATAAATATACAACAATTGAGTTTATAGAAGCTTATGTGAATTTATTTTACATCAATATAAGTGAATAACTTTATATTTACCCACACAATGTTTGTGAATTTTTTTCAATAAGTAATTTGATTATTTTAAAATCTAATTATGTGATGTGATTAGTAAAATATAGATTTAGTGCAATATTCTTTTTTAAAATTTAAACAAGAAAGTATCAATGAGATTAATTATACACCCTTGGTATGATTTTTTTTCATTATCAATTCATTACAATGTATTACTTTCAGTGTTTTAAAAATCGGACTGGACCGGCCGGTCGAACCGGTCAGACCGGGAACCGGCCTATTAACCAATTTGGTTTACTAGTTCGATCGTCTGTGTCATCAAACCGGTAAAAATCAGGAAAAATCGGGTTGGACCGGGAAAAATCGGGTTTAGGGTCGGACCGGTTCTAATGTATTTTTTATTTTTTAATTAAAATTTAAATGTAAAAGTTATAAAAATTAAAAAAAAAAATTTGTTTTGATTGTTTTGAAATAATTTTACCTCCTTAGAACTAAACGTAGACATTAGAGTTATTTTATTATAAATTATTCAATTATATTATATTGCAATTAGATTTTGTAATTTTGTATTATTTTATTATGTGTGATACATTTGTTTAAAATTTGAATTTAAATTATGAACTTGTGAATTTATGACATGATATTTTCAAAAAATTTAAGTACTAGTTATATTTTTTTAGAAACTGAATCATCCGGTTCGACCGATTTTATATCTATATAATGACAGGTCTATTCAACCGAGTTATCCGATTTAGTCATGCGGTTCGACCAGTGACCCAGTAGTTCGACCGATAAATCAGTGACCCAATACTCTCACCGATTCGATGACCGGTCCGGTTTTTAAAACACTATTTATTTTGTCTATATATATATATATATATATATATATATATATATATATATATATATATATATATATATATATATATATATATATATATATATATATATATATATATATATATATATATATATATATATATATATATATATATATATATATTATAGAAATTGACAAATAATTCCACTATGCTTATCAATTAAATTCATTATTAATTGATATATTTTAAAGAGATAAAATTACTTAAACTTTCCAATTTGAAATCTAAAAATGCTGATTTACTCTACTTAATTAAAATTGAGTAAGAGGATTAAGAGAAGAAGGATATCAATAAGAAACGGCGCCGTTTTGAAGTGTGTCCGAACCCTCCTCTTCCGTCTCTCTCTTCTGCTCGCCGCATAGAATCAACCATGTTTCGCATTCGCAGAATCTTGTCTTACCGTGCACTCGCATCATGCACCCGCAATGCACTTTCTTCATCGGAAACACGCTCTCTTCCTCATTCCCATTCCCCAATTCTCCCTCCACCTTCATTTCTAGGTTTGTACCAAAACCTTTCGATTTCACTTTATTTTTCTCGTACTCATTGATTTCTCCTTTAAATTACTGTTTTTTTCTTCTTTTTCTAGGAGTAGGAATCACAGAAAACCAGGGATCAATCTCTTTTGCAAGGCTTATGTCTTCAAGAGCATCATCTGAGCAAGGAAAAGGAACAGAAAAGGTTTTACTTTTAACCTAGTTTTTACTCCTAATGTTTACTAAGGATTAAATTATGGGTTTAATTCAATTTTATGTATCCCTCATTTGCTAATTTTGATTAAGGAATAATGTTTAGGTTTAAGTTTATCTTGACTTGAAAAAATTTCAATCACTAAATTTGTTAACTGTCTTTGGCACATATGGTTGAACCTTCTGCTCACATTTTGAAGTGATTTGGGTTAAGTTCGAAGTTTTGTGGTTGTTAGGTTAATACAATCTTCAATGAAGTTAGTGATTCTCCTCGTGGCTATGTTTGGATATTGTAAAACGGTTGAAGCTGAATGGAGCAGAGTGGATGGAGCGGAGCGGAGTGGAATGAGATAAATATGTCATTTCATTGTTTGAGTATTTCACGATGTAATAGAGCAATTGTCATTCTGCCCGAATCGGAGTAAACAAAATTGAATGCATTCTATTAGGTTCCACTCAATTCCATTCTTTTTTTAATTAATCCAAATAATAGAACATAAATTTATTCCATTTCATCTAATTCCTCAATCCAAACATAGCCTGCATGAGGGCGTGCCTCTCCTAATCTAATTTGTTATTTGATAAAAAAGACTCCAGTAGATATCCTTAGGCTCACACTATTTATGACATGGATGCAAGTCCAGAATTTCCCACTTGGTAAGTGATAGTGGTTCTCTCTAGCCTTGCATGTCTGTGTGGCTCCCCACGCGATAATAGAAAACTCCAATCTATTCTCTACCCATGTTTAGGTGAGGCTTCATGCTGCATTAGTGTTATTGGCAGTGTCGTTTATAGAAGAGTTACCCAATCAATGCTATGAAATGTGATTTTCCCCCTTCTGCCTTGTTGCCATAGAATGGCTATGTTCTACATCATGGTTTTCAAGATTAGATCTTAAAATCTTGTGATGTTACGATCTCACTCATCCCCAATGATCCGGATCTTGAGTAGAATTGCGTGTTGTAGTCAAATTGTGAAAAAAATTTGTAAAACCATTGATTTTGTGCAATCTTGGCCAGTTCCGGCCACAATCGTTTTCCGGCCATAGCCATTACAAGCTGAGAAGGCTGACAAGATGTCGGGGCACAACAATTACGGTTCAGTGGAGGCCATTTCCCCAAGAATACACTTGCCTACCAAAATATCATGTAAAAGAACTTCAAATATGTAGTATAATTTTTTCTTTTTAGTAATATCTTATGATTTTTGTTACGATCTTATGTTTTACGATCTTGCTACCCCCTCTTGATCTTACAAAAATAATTGGGTAGGATCTTCCGAACTTAGTTATGATCTTATGTTTTACGATTTTACAGTCCCTTCCTGATCTTGACAACCTTGTTCTACATGGCCTTTTGTTTGGTGTTATTTGCAATTAAACTAGCGACTCAATACTTTTTAACCGATTTGTTTTGTAGACAAAAAAGGAGATAACAAATGTTGAGAATCCATTTGATGATTCTCCAACATATAACATTCCCGAGAAGCCTGTAACATTTGTGGAGGGGGCGTCCTACAGTGTGATCATTCTTGCAGGGCTCGGAGTTGCGGCTGCTGCTGGATATGCTGTTTTCAAAGAGCTTATATTTCAACCCAAAGAGTAATGAGTTTAATCTTCTTGCTCATATTATGTTATCTGAAAGGAAAATGCTAGATGAATAGAGCTTTTAAATGAATGAGTTTGCATCGTTATTGATTGTTGAGTTTTGGGTCGATGGGTGGTCCTTATCACCTTGTCTTACCCAATAACCACTCGAGAATCTAGCTCAATTCTGTATATTTTTGCTTTGTAGTACTACTCAATCTTAAAAAGTAATAATTCATTGTTTTTCCTCTTTTCTCTTTGTCTTGCGCTGATTGTAATAAGATGATTTTAGGTTCAAGATCTATAACAAGGCTCTCAAAAGAATTCAAGATGATGGTCAGGTGAGTGGTGTTTTTCTTTTGCATCCATTTTCATACACAACAAAAATTAAGCTTTTCCATTCAAAGGAACTTAAATGTTTGAAATATTCAGTCCAAAATCCTTCAGTTTGTGTTGGTTGGATATAGAATGAAGATGGTCATTCTGCAGGTTGCCATCTGTAGGAAGAAGCTATACAAAGACAACTAAAATTGGGTGATGGAATGGTATTCAAACAGATCTTGATGGTTTTTAATGTCAAATTTTTATGTTTTAATTTTGTTAAATAAGGAAATGCTAATATTCCGTCATCAGTGCATAGATAACAGATGCCTCAATGACAATTAGTATATCACATAGAAATACCTGGGTTTCTACCTAATACCTATTGAGCTAGCCGTTGAAGATCCTTTTAATATACAGTGAGCTAGGTATAGGTGTTATGTCATTATGCCATTGAGTAGGTGGTTGGAGTTGGGTATAGGACTTTTATATGTGAAATATACCAAAGTTCTGTATCGTCATACGCATCAACAAAGAATACCCTCCCCCTCACCCCGCAACATTTTTTGGCTATGTAAATGAAAAAGGAAAATGCATGCTTATTTGTTCTTGTTGTAATTGTTGTGTAGACCAATTCTACAAAAAAAAAATAAAATTGCACACTCCAAAGCACTAAATCAAACAATGATTTGTATGACAAATTTTGTTGATGAGCAGTAACTGATTAACAATGGTATTGGATAGAACATTATATTAGATTTTGATCTATGTAGCCAACCCCACTTAGTGGGATAAAGCCCGGTTGTTGTTGTGAGCAGTATCTGATTCTCGACCAATTCAATGTTTTCATGTGAACTTGAATTTGCTTTGTTCCAGGTCAGAGTGAGGATTGGATCCCCAATTACAGGTTATGGCCAAGAGAGTAGAAATCGTGCTGCTCGTCAAAGAATTCCCAATAGGGTTTGGACTGATGAGGAGGGTGTTGAGCATGTAGAGGTAGGTTTATTTACATGTAATCACATTTATTTGCCGTAACAGCATTTTATAAGATTTCTTTTGAATACATCCTTCATCCCTGGGTTTTATGACCTTTCAAAAGGGAGGGAAAAGATAATATGAAAAAGGAAAGGAGAGAAGAGGCAATGTTCTACGAGAACTTAATTGGATGGATGCATTATTGTATTATTTGTGTTATCTAAATTCTTGAGTTTTCTTTCATCGTGGAAGATACTTGATGTTTAGCAGTTCTGTGCCATTTCTATTATTAATTTGATTGTTCTCAAATATGCTCATTTTGGTTACAGGTTAATTTCTTCATCCGGGCCCCCCATGGACATGGAAAAGTATTTGCTGAGATGTTCAAAGGAGTTGATGGTGAGTGGAAATTCACATACTTGATTGTTGAGATTAGAGCACCCTCTCCAGCACAATTAATTCTGGAGTCATATATCCCATCTTACAACACAAACAAGTAGCCTAGATGAGAAAAGGTATCATTCTGCACTGTTACCTGATTATTCAGTTTGTGGATGCTTGATAGTTATCTTTATTTCTGTTTGAATGTTGAGGTCATTGTTTTCACGATAGAAATTCTACCTGATATTACTTACCAGCGCTCTTGTTCCTATATCTCCCAACTTTGGATCAGAAGTACTTTCTTCAATGTTGAATATAAGCAAAAAAATACCCAGGTTTGGTGGTATAAAATACAAGCAAATCTTAACTAATTTAAATTCATTATAATTTAATAACGGCATTCATCAAATGCCCTTCAATTTATTTTCAATTTCAGATTCCATCAACCCATTTATTTTCATGAAACATGTTTTCACGAAGGGTTGTTTAGAAAATGAAAATGATATTTTTTTATTATATTAAAAACATAAATGAAATTAACTTTATTCTTAACTACCATGATATATTTATTTATATTGCTTATATTCTGAAAAGAAATGAAGTCAGTATGAAGTGGCAAAGCTTCAAATGCTGTTAACCTAATTGTTTTATATTCCATACATGCAATTAATCGGTGTTGACAACTAGTAAATGCTAAGCATGCAATGATATATTTTTGGGGAACTACTTCTCCCCAACACATTTCTAAAAATCAACCCCTTCTGGAGGTACTGTTCTGGCCAGGCAAAAAATATCAATTTTTCCATTTCCAGCACATTGCAGCATATGGAGGAAACCATTTTTTTTGCCACGTTCGAATCGATGCATCCGGACAGGATTGAGTTTTTACAAAGGGTTGAGGTTGGGGGATAAAAGCTGCTTCCATGTTTTTTAATCTCGCACTTGGTCCTTTTCCTTCATGAGTGGCCCAAATATGTCACTTAACCCTAGGGGTGGCAAACGGGGCGGCCCGAAACCTGGACTCAGCCCGCCTGTTTAGCCTCTGTGTAAGCCCTTGTTCACATTGCATGTTTATAAATATTGGGTGATAGGTGCTGATCATCGTATTCCTGTGTTTTGGGTGGTTATTCTCTTGTACATGTCAACCTTGCGTATCCTAGTCCGATTTGTTTCTGCTAGAAAGAAATGCTATTAACCATAGGTAATTTAATGCCTGTCTGTATTTATGTTTAAAGAAATACTAAATAAGTTTTGCAATAAAGATGAGTATTTTAAAGAATAACTTGTCATGCAAGTTAAAATTAGTTTCTGCATATAAATATTTTCGGAAGCTCTCCAATTTAATTTTTTTTCATAAATATCTATAAGCTTGTAAAAACAACTGGAAATTTTTTTAGTTAAAAAGCTCCCATAAGGCTGGTGGAATTTGAATCATGTGCAAGGTTACAAAATCAGGCTCTATGATTAGTCTAAGTTAATCCAAACTAACTGAGACTTGATCCAATGCTTATTCTCATGTATATTAATCAGAGATCATATTTAACTACTCAATGCAGGTCCTCGATATTTGATCCATTACTATAGGCCTCTTTCTTCAACTTTCGGCATTGATCACCTTTGTTAGTTCACACTCCATTGGGGTGAAAGTTGGAAGGAGGAAAGACAATTTGAGTAGCAAATAATATGAGTCTGGATCTCAAATCTCAGGTTTGATATTTTTAAATTTCATTAAGAACCTGCAGATGCGAAGGGAAGTTTTGGGAATGATCATAGTGTCGACGAGGGTGGTTACTTTGTCATTGATGCTGATTGAGAATGCCATGTACTTCCAATTTTTTTGTTACTGTTGACATTTTGATATAAATTTGTATGTGAATTACGTTGTGTTGCTGGAAGGCGTACGCAAGTGATGGATCTTATAAGATTGATTTTAATTGTTACTCTTATAATACAAAAAACTTCTAAGGATATTTCCTACAATTTTAACGCACCTAGCATTAGCTAACAAGTTTTTGGCTTGCTTGCATGTTTACTTGTTTTAATCTGCTATTGATGTTGAAGAGTATTAAGTGAACGTAAAATAAATGGCCGGATGAACTGTAATTTGGAATTCGTAGCAGAAAACAAACTTAAATATTATAGGCTAAAAAATTGAATAACTTGTTATTTTCCAATCCATAAATGCTTTAAGAAGTCCCTTGAAAATTTCAAATATGTGAATTTGGAATGTGTATGGATTCTAAAATCCAAATACTCTCTATAACCTACAAATTTTAGTTTCTACAATTAAAAAAGTGTAAATCAACCTCTTCATATATTCAATTCTATAATTTGAACATGTAAATCATCCTCTTGTCTATGATGTACTTAATAACATTTTTCACTACATTGTCGTAAATAAGTGTAAGTCACCCACTCTTAATATATTCAGATTTTATACATGTAAAACAACCAACCTCTTGTCTATGTTTCATGTCTATCATTGACATTTCTCACTACATTGTCGTAGGTAAATTATATTTATCCATGATATATAGTGGTGGATAATGTCAAAATAGGCATAACTACACAACAATCATGAATGTGAATTATATTTTCTTAGAGTGAGATCTTTGAAATTTTAAGATGAATCAAATTTTAAAATCTCAAATAAATCAGCATCGCAAAAAGTAAGGGAAAATGATTCATGAAACGTTCACATTCTAGATTCCACACATTTTAAAAGAAAAGTGTTTTAAATTCTAAATTACAATACAACAATCAATCAATGACATCAATTTATTTAAGATTATATTTTTTATTTTTTATTTTTTATTTTGAGATTTTTGTAATAGTTTCTCATAATTTTTCTATGCTTTTTCTATCTTCGACTAATTTTCATCTAATTTTATTCTCCTTACACTAAAATCTCATCAAATCATCTTAGTATATTTTTCACCATTTTTTTACTATAGGTGTTATCCCCAACACTCTAAAATATTGTCATTTCTAATCATGCTCTGTCATTTTTACCATATATCCAACACAATATTTTTACATCTGCTACACTTACTTTATTCTTGTATTCATTCATAACCATCCAAAATTCTATCTCGTACGACTTCTTAGGTCATACCGGTATTTGATAAAGTTTTCTCTTCAACTTGAGCGGTACTTTTCTATGACATAAAATCCCTGAGACCCTTCCTCATTTGAGTCACCCAATTTAAATTTGATGGCTTACACCCCCTCCAATTTTCTATCGTTTGTATTCCAGATACGTTTCTAAGGCCCGTCTCCACGACTATAATCTCATTTAAATCCTCCTACTATCTAAGTGCGACTATATCATTTGCAAAAAATGATACATCTCAATGCTATCTCTTGGACGTGTTTCGTGAGTACATTCAAAATAAAAATAAAATTGTAAGGGTTTAGGATAGAACATTGGTGCACTTTCATTGTAATAGGAAAATCATATGTCTCTTTATTCTATGTCCGCACACTAGTTAGTACTTTATCATACATATTTTGGATAGTTCGAATATAAACAATTCTAACTTTATTCTTCTTTAGGGCTTTTCATAAAATCTCCATAGGAACTTTTTATCACACGTCCTTTCTAAGTCAATAAAAATTAATTGCAAGTCTTGGTGGCCCATTTGATACCGTTCCATCAAACGTCAATAGACCACTTTCATGACGTACCTCTCAGACATAAAATCAAATAATTTATTAATAAATCAAGTCTTTTGATTACTAGCAACTCGAGTCTTTTTTTTTAGTTTCTGTTCGATCTCTTTTCCATAACTTCATGCTATAACTCATAAGTTAATCTCTATATAATTTATGCAATTTTGTATACCCTTTTGTTCTTTATAGATTGAAATTAGAATGCTTCTTCTTCATTAATCTGATATTTGTTTTGATCTCATAATTTCATAAAAGATTTTGATGATTACCTCAACGCCACTTTTTTCAAAACTTTTCCACACTTGAATTGGTATGCTGTGTGACCTTACTACATTGATATTACTTATCATATTCAACGTTTATTTTACCTTTTATTTTTAAATCTGACAAAGGTAATTATAATTACAACCCTCTTTTCTAATGTCGAGTCTTTTAGAGTTTAGTGAAATATCATATCATTCATTAAATATATTGTAGAAATATGTCTTCTACTTATTCTTTATATATTTTTTTGAACCAATACTCTATCTTCTTTATCTTTAAGACACCTCACTTGATTCAAATCTCTTTGCATTTCTTTTTCTTTACTTAACAAGTCTACATGTAAATTTTTTCTCTCATTAATTCATATAGATTGGTATAATCTATTAAAAACTTGAATTATTAATTCACTCACCGCCTTCTTAATCTCTTTCTTAGCTTTCATTCAAAATTTTACTTTAAAATATTCTGCTAGCCCAATATGAAATGTGTATGCAGTAATAACCTTTTTGTTTTACTACAAATTACAAATCATTATTCAATCTCATAGTCTTTTCACATTTATAATATCCTTCCACTATTTGTCTACAATATCATTCACACCATTCCTCCAAAGCTTACATTTTGAATTGTTCAAATCTTTTGTCTTTTTCCATTCTACTAAGTTCTTTATCCACACTTGTTCGGCAAAATGTGCAAACCCTTATTCATTTTTCATTGCATCCAAATGATAATGCAAGAACACTTACTCTTTTAAAACTATACTCAAGCCATATAATATATTGATTATGGACAACGACCTAACAATCCGATTTAATTATTTAAATGTTTAAAATTAATTTAATAAAATTGTGTTACAAAATCAGGAACCATACATGTATGTCACTTAAAAACTCACGTGGCAAGAGATTGAACTGTTCACTAGCCACGTGTTAGAACTTAACAAGTACTAAAAGTGTTGACTACAAAATAATTTGGGAACCCAAAGTCAACAAGTATTTGTTTAAACTAAAATATATTAAAGCCTAAGAATTGATTTTAATAAATATGATTATATTCATCTAAAAAAGTTAACCGAAGAATAATTTATAATTTCTGAAGAATGCTAAAGCGGTTGAAAGCTGTCAAATTCTGTTTTGAAAATTTAACAACTTTGGCCACTTTAGTTGATTTTGTTTATTTTTAA